ATTAAACAAGTTTATATTATATATTTAGTTTAAAATTAAGGTTTTTTAATAATTAATTTGTTTGTACGAAGTTTGTTTGTATGACTTCATTTTTTTTGCAATTTTTCTTTTGTACGTGGGAAATCATTGGGGAACAAAAATATTTTTTAAGTAATTAATAACAATCGAATTTTCTGTCAATTAAACTCAAATATTAACATTTGAAAATAAACTAGGTTCAATTTCTTTTTCTTTTTTTTCAATTTGATATGCCTTATGACAGTAGAACAAACAACCATTAATTGAAGGAAATTGATTTTGGAGACCCTCCTCTTCTTAATAATTAAGATTGTACAATCCGACATATCCTTGTTGAATTTCTAAAGACTTTGTTTTGTTTCATAGGATAAAATGTGGTTGGGATCCATAATCCAAATGATGGTGGGCTTATGTTTCACACGTGAACAAGAGGGCCCAATGATGATGTTCGACAAGTAGTGTAGGTAGAATGAAATTTTCAATAGGAAAGGATAGGGGCAAAGCTTCAAAAACGAGTTACGTGCGTTCAATTCAAAAGTTTGAAATATGCAAAAAAATGATAAAGATGAGTTATGGAGATGAAAAGTCTAAAATGAGGGACCATACTCCCATATAAGGTCACATTATTCAAAATATCTCAAGTAATTAAAATTTTAAGATTTTAAATTAAAAATTTTATATTTTAATTTTAAGACAAACATAAAAAAAAATTAAAATAATAAAAAATCTATCTTTTGTTATATAGTTTATGATTTAATATTAAAAAAATAATGTAACATTTTACATTTCAACTTTCAACCTAATCTTTTAAAGGATTACATAAAAAGTAATCTTATTTTGAAAGGTAGAGCACCTTGATTTGTAACCCAATCTATGATAAAAATGCTCTTTGATTTGTCACAAATCGTTTAAGGTGAGCTATTTAGTCTCTAATTTCGTTCCCCCGCCCTAAATCTCTGTTTCAATTCTACTTAATCCAGTGTCTCTAGATGAGCAAAGAGAGTTAAAAAGGAAGAGGATTAGGGACATGCTTAGCCATTATTGAGGTATACAGCGATATATCCTTGAAATTCAACGTACCTAACTTGAAACCATAAAACAAACAAGCTCAAGGAAGATTTGCCCATATACAAAATTACAAGTGCACATGGATATCAAGATTTGGTGGAATTCAAGATACCCTTGATCGATCCTTGTCTGCATGTATGTCACCAATAGAACCAAAGAAAGGGATAAAATAAATCCCACTTTCAGGCTCTTTTGATTTGCACCACAAAATCCCAATCCCGTGTTGGAAGGATTGGTGAAGTGACCTTGGAGGTTCAAACAAAACCTTCATTCAAGAATATCAATTTCAATCCCATGTATGGAAACAAAGACCTGCACCAAAAACCTTTCACCTGTTTGCTGATGTTATGGTTTCTGGTTCTACAATTGTATGGACAAGAGGAGGTGAAGGTGTGTGTACGGGACAAAGACAATGACTAGTGGAATTTAAAGTTAGCTAACCGTCCTTTTAAGGATGGCTTTCTTCAATTTCTAAGAAGTTTTCTTTCCTTCACGCCTGAAATGAAGAATTTACATCTGAAGACATCAATAAGTAGCTATCCATTTCAGGACCAAAGCCTCATCAGATGCGAGAGATTCAACTCTCATGGCATTTTACTACATGAAAAATACAGTGAGATTGTTGAACAATTCCATTTTACTACATGGGATTGTGCTCGGACTCATGAAATTCAGCTCTCTCACCAAGCTATTTTCATTTCAACAATCTAAACGTTCTGAGCATGAGACATTTTGCTACATGGAAAATATATTTAAGAGGCAGCTAAGATCCTAAATCCCAAGCACAGAATTTAAATTAAGCATGAAGCTTTAAGCATTTCTACATATAATGAACTGCCAAAATCAAGAGACAGGAGATTTATGTCACAAAGTGTTATAAGTAGGCAGTAATACCTTAAAATGTCAGTATAGTCTACTGCCTATGTCCATAATCTCTCCGGCTCTCAATATCAGCTTTCTTCCTTGTCTCAAAATCAAGCTTGTCTAGATCCGCAGCTGTTGCTAGATATCCGTATAAGATCCTCTTCCTCTCTCCAGTCCTCTCATCTAACTTCACAAGATTTGGGTTCTTCTCATCATCTTTGCCAATTAAGGACTGCAAACGGGACCAAGCCTTGCGGCCATGGTTTTCCTTCTCAAAATATTCTGAAAGCCGAATGGCATTCTTCAAGCCCAATTGATCACCACCAAACTTAACCAGTGCAATACCAAGATGACCGTCTCTCCCATACAAGGACTTTGACTTGCCACCTTCGACTCCAAGATCTGGAAACAAAAGTACAAGTATGATTCCCAATAGTCAAAGGGTGCATCTCTCAAGATTAACCCACTGCCGCTAAAGAAAAACAACCCTGTGCCCTTTCTGCAAAGTAGGAGACCCTTAGAAACATTCCAATTTCATGACTGCTGACAAGATCTAAGGGTGCCAATTAATGGTAGCTAACTTAGAATCTATTAGAATGGCCCAAGTCAGAATCTACCAGAGTGCTTCAGTTCTCACTGACAATAAATTGTATGATGCAAGTATCCAGTCATTTCTCACTTAGATGAACTCCTAATGCCCCAACAAATTTCCACATGTTACACGGTCCAAGAAAGCACAGAAGGGTTTGCAAAGATAGTGCAATCCAGTATTCACATAACAAATGGAGGAGAAACCATACAAATATACAAAGGAGGTAATCTAACGAAGTATGAGACAGACAAGTAAACCACAACGAAAATGTTTTTGCATGGTGCAACAAAAGAAACCACACAAGTCACCGATACGGTATGCTTGTATGTTCATATACAAGCATGATGAATATTCATCTCGATTCATGAAAGAAAAAACAATCAAGCAATAAATCCTGAGGATGTGCATATGTCAACCCACCTCTGTGGAACAGTTTTACTGCAATATTACATATTTTAAAAGAAATATTTTGATTGTCACATGGTTAAAAAAATTAAAAGGCAGAAAACTATTCATAATAAGATGACACCATCATTGATTCAGGCTATTGAACTGAAGTCCCATCAAACTCTTAGCAGATTTGTTTCAAGGGAAGCACCAACAAACACAGAGGAAGAACTAACATTACCACTGGCACTGGAATACAAGCAAAACACTTCTCCAACACAGTGATCTAGTTCATGTTAAAAGGTATAATTGTGTGGCAGAGATGGTATAACCCACAGCCATGCAGCCACACAGCCACTTCCCTCTAGAGAAAAAGTACAGACTTCCAATCCCTAGGTTGAGAACTATCCAGAAATAAAGCAACTGCTCTTCATGACATCCTAGGAAACCTTACATATTGTATGAGCTTAGAGTTGTTTCCGGTGGCAAGATGAAACAAAAAGGCCTAATGTACTGTACCTTGATCTCTAAGTTCATTGGCATCACCCTTTAAGTACAACCCATCTTTGTCCAGTAAAAATAAAAATCACCAAAATCCAAAACAATTGATATAGCTAAATAAGCATTGAGATTTGACTATCCATTGGTCAAATTAGAAACAGCAGTAATAAGGAGAGTCAATAGATAGATACAAATATGCACATGCAAAGGATTGAACTCATTAACGCTGATAAAAAATAAACTCATTAACTCATGATTTTGTGAGTTCACAGAAAATAACTGAAACACAATATGGTCAACAAAATATGATGTAAAATAAGGAAATAAGATATCATCTAAATATTAAAGCCACTATGGCTCTTTACAAGAGTCATCGTTTTAAACCTGATACAATTAAATTAGCATTGATAAACTTCATTAATACTGAACACAACATATCTACCTGCCACGCCAACCAACCATCTAATCATCTCAGCTATACAACAAAACCAATTGCACAGCAACATAGATTTTCATAATTATTTCAAAAAAAAAAAAAAACCGAATTGAAATGACAAAAAAGTGAGGGCTGACACATTATAATGACTTGACATTGTCACAAACTAATTTGGGACAGGCAAATGGTCAAAATCATATGATTTAAACACCCAAAAAGGGGGGAATTCCATCATTTGCAAAGTTAATGGAGATTGGACTTCCTACCTTAATTACTTATTCTTCCACCCTTGGTCACCTAAAATGGGGCGCCAGGGAATAGGAAGGGGAAGATTAACCAACTTGAACTAAAGCCTAAGCAAATAACAAGGGGAAAAAATTCCTTCTTCCAATGTTGATGTAAATAATATATAGGCAAAGGTGCAACTTTATATATGGAAAGTAAAATAAAATAGCCAGAAACATGTTGGAATGGCTGAGAAATGCAAACTTGAGTAAATAACTAAAGAGATACACCAATTATTTGAGAGCAATTGAGACAGTAATTTGTCAAGATAACAAGGATAAATGCTAAATAAATTAGAGATCAAAAACAAGGAGCTGCACAAAGCTGCTAATCTAACCACTACCAGATAAAGGTACTCAACCATCAACAATTGAAAAATTTTGTGAAGAAACAACACAAGATGTGGACAAAATTACTAGTAACGGCACAAAAGTTTAGAATACAAGATAATACTACAAACAAGTATTTCTTAGGAGTTAAGTCCTTTTCCTGGATGAAACTAGAGAACTTTCAAACTTGGAACTTACAACAACTCATTTTTAACTTAAATAAACTAAGCTTCTGATCAGCAGGATTCCTCAAATCCTCAATTGCCAATCATAATATAGCTTAAACGCCTAATTAATGGTTCATCTGCAATAGATGAGGCTACTATAGAGCAACACAACAGGAATATAAATTATAAGTACAAAATCCCACGGTGAAGCTGTCTTATGCCCAACACACACACACACACAAACCCTCTTTAACAGCACATACACGTAGAGAATATAAAGCAGTCCTAACATCACAAGTGTCATGCTCACTGTCCTCAGTTATCCTTGTGTTAAAACAGTTATTTGCCTAGAACTTTCCTCTCAGAGTCATCCAAAGGTTAATAGGATATCACAATGGTCTCCTATCAACAAAACCTATGTTATACCAAACTGGAAAAGGAGTATATGCATCATTGAGACAAAATTTACAACCTATGAGGAACATACAAGGAGATGGAGAAGGTTTCCAAAAGCAAATGCCAACTGATATGCAGATCATTAATACCAATAAAGAAAAAGGGGCACATTATACCTCTTATTTTGTTATCCATTGCTTTGTTTCCCAAACCTTCCATGCGCCCATCCTTACCCTTTCCTGTTATTGTATTATGAATTATCACCACTGGTGGCCATAGAATCAGATCTTCTTGGTTTGCAGCTGCTTCATCCGCAGGTAAAAACTTATAGGCCTTCAAGTTATCAGGAGGCTTTGAGAAGTTCCATCCCATTAATACACAAAGGGCTTTGTGTAAGCCTAAGTGATCCACACGCAGGGCAGCATTATCTGAGTTGTATGTGTGCATAATCAGAGCATGCATATCAGAGAAGTCTTTAGAAGACCTGTAATTTTGCATATCAAGGACATGAAGAATAGGTGATTCAGGTTTTCCTCTCAAAAATCGCTATGAATGAGCCTTCAAGTAATGAGAAGAAAAAAACAAATACATCCTTTGGTTTGTGCTTACTGTCATAGAACATATGGAAAAGAAATAAGTTACATGAAGAATAAAGCATCTGGCATATTGCTGGTTTTCATAAAGGTTGATAGAAAGCATAAAATCAACCCATATTACACTATAGCAGTTTACAAGACCATTTCTCTCCTAATGCACTTGGACTAAGTGTATTGTCAGTTTACATAATATATGGTCTTAATATTGGTTGGCATATTGGTTCCATTTTCTCCAATAACCCTACCATAAGTGGTGCCATTAAATGCTACAACAATATACAAAGAGATAAATCAACAAAAAATCAACAATCAGCAATAACCCCATAAGTAGTGCAGATATAGAAAATATATTCACAAGGATATTAGATCTCCAACTTCAGAAAAAACATCGTACGCACTGCATTAACCCATGACAAGCAAGGTTTGAAAAATCTAGCACAGGGTAAAAACAGCATACCTGAAGCAACAAACTTATAGTTTTCAATTCAACTCAATATAAACTTATGTTCTAAGAATCTAGTACAGATCAGGCCAAGAACACGTGAAGAGTAGCGTAAGTGGATTTCAAGATGGTACAAAGTCTATAGAATCAGTGCTATTATCTGGTTTTGAAGCAATTCTATGAAATAATGAAAGAAAAAGACAATGAAGGTAATCAATTTACTTCCACTAGCCAAGAAAGAATATCAAAGAAATAAATCCTCCAAGGGATCGTTTGGTATATTGCAGCTGTACAACATAATCATATACGTGGGTATTCTAATACAATGCAAAATGTGGTTGAAGCACAGAATCACATAACATTACAAAACACTAATACCAAACTCTGTGATGCAGTATATTCAAAACAGCACTAGGTCCACAACATCAAACAATTACTCAGAAATAGTACTTACAACAAATAAAAGTTTGTAGTGCAACTTGTTTTACCAAACTGACCACGCACCCATTGAATCATTGGCATATAAAAGCTATATCCTTTTCAGCTTCAATCCCGTCCCATTATTATTTCCATTTCACCTTATAAAACTACTTTCCTTCCCAGCATGACCTTTTAACCTAGCTGCATAAACATAACAAAGAATTCCCAATCCCTCCCTCCCCTCTACACACAAAAGAGAAAATAAGCTTGATTTTTACACTCTTTAATACTCCATTCCTATATACCACATCCACTTTCCTACCTCAAGCCAAAGGATGAATATCTCAGTCCTAATCAAGCAGCTCAGATACACAGATATCTAACTACATCTTCCCAACAACCATCACTTCAACATTGCATGAAAACACAGCAAATATGCTGAATAAGACCTAAAATACCACTAACACCAAGCAACTTGAGGATCACATTGGACCTCAAAGTTAGGTAACTAGAAAACCCTCATGTACATCCTCTCACTCTTAACAACACCCAAGAATTTAAGGCCTGAATCCATGCAAGGAAGATTTTCTCTCATGTAGAACCAGAAGCAGAAAATAACAAAGGAAAGAGGAGCATAAAAGAGTAGAGATGAATAATTGGTTCAGATACTAGTGCAACTGCAGTGGCAAAGCAATAAAAACAGAAAAACAACTGAGTAACTACTAAGTATGACATCTAAGAACCAAGTGCTAAGTCTATTTATTGGAAATCAGGCATATTTCTGGATAATGTGCACATAAATGTGACATATAATAGGTAACATTGTGATGACAAGAAAGTAAATCCAAGGGCTCCCAGCTCTCTGTTCATTAAATCCTTAATGCAAAACGTTCCAAAGTTCTTGTCAGATAATAGCAACAATCCAACAAACAATATTGGATAAAGAACAGGTCTCCAGCTACACTAGTAAAATCATGCCAATTAAAACATTATCTCACAATAAGCTATCCAAAAGTTGCATGCCTGCAAAATAATAATGAAGTACTATTGTTGAGCTCATAGTCAAGAATATGAATAAGAAATTAGGACCATTAACTGTAGAAAAGGGACACATCAGGATAACTCCTCTTTTTTTTTTTAATAATCTCTTTTCCACAAAGAAATTACAAGCAGGTCCCAGATACAATTATTCTAGAAGTTTCCACAAACATTTCTTGGAATAAAAGTACTTAAGATCAAAATAGATAGTGGCACCAAGCACCACAAGATGATGAGCCTAAATCACCCCTATAATCAGGAAGTGTGAAAAATATACAGAGGAGGCTGACGTGTACCAGACCCCTAGGATAGATAAATACTTTAATATGATAATAAGTACCAATATGGACAGTTTAACACAAATGCCTAGATGAAGATGTCTTAAGAAAAATGGGAAATATTAAAGCACTGTAACTTAATTAAGGCAACCCACACACCTAGATGAGAAAATCATGAAAGGGACTTTTTCCCATTTATTTAGGGAAATAAAAAAGAAGCAATACTAAAAACACTAACATGAATATAATCAGATACTCAAAATAAGCCAATTTTACAACAGGAATGGAATGCCCAAAATAGAAATAAAAATGTGGTCATTTATACAACATAAATCTTTAGAAAAGTAATATGTCCTATATACATCTTCCCTTGCAAGACTTAGTAACGCTAGTACTCCCCAGACAGAAAAGGATTGTACTGAAGCAACAGACAGGAAAACAAATTTCTATTTCCATGTCACCCTATTATCAAAATTGCAGCTACTATGAATCTCAAAATAAGAAATTAACCCAAGCATCAAGAGCTGACCCGTAAAAGAGTCATATTGAACTCCTTAACGAGACAAGGGCGAATACTGAATAATATGAAAACTCGATGAAGAACAAGGCAGCTAATAGCAAACTTTAACCTGGCAAGCTTATATAGATGAGCAAAGCCGTGGGGTAAGCAGTTCACTGAACCAATCCATGAAAGCATATAGACATGATAAACAAGCAGACATTAATATTATATAAATTGAAACACCAAGCCAAACAAACTCTCTACAGGTTCCAAACAAACATCAATCCAGGAGACACTACGTGCACAATGAAAGCAAGCGCTAAGCAAGGAACACATTGCAGTAATAAGAATAGCCAATTCAAAGAAAATGAAAGAAAAGACAGCTAAATTCGATTTCAACCCAAGTTGGCCAAACCTGCCACAAGCCACGCACTGGAGTCTGTCGTGCTTTCCATCCTCCAAGTAATTCTTTTTCTGCATGGGATTCTCGTATATCACCTTGGAGAAGAACAAAAACGCCTTCTTTAGTGCTGTTTGGTCAACATTTAACTGCTTGTTAAAACCGCCAGCGTGTTCGTATCCCCCATCGCCCCTCATATACTTCGCCGGCCTCATTTCCTCGTTTATGAATGGACCGCTGGTTCCGGCGATAAAGTCGGGCCTGCCAGGCCCCAATGGGTACCCGTTTGGGTTGGTATACTGCGTGAATCTTTGCCTTCCCAATTCTTCCTTCTTCGCATCTCTGGGATCCCTCTCTTCTTCGTATTTCCGCTTGATCGAGCCGGGTCCATCAAGTCCCGACGGATTTCTGAAATCTCTATTATCGCGAAACCCTAAAGGCGGGCTACTAAAATCGGGAGGTCCATGTAAGCGGTGACCAAGATCAAAAGGTCGCGAAGGGAAGTCCTGGTATTCAGGCGGGAGAGCGAAGTAGGAACGGACGCTGCCGTCGTAAAGGATGATGGTACGGCGCTCCAGCATATGGAAGCCATAAGACGGCGGCGGAGGAGGACCCAGCAGGGTAGCTGGGTCCGGGAAGTTTAACCCGGAACCAGAAGGCGGTGTCGGCTTGGCATCGGATTGGGACTTGTTCTGCGCCTGGCTTGGTGAAGGGCCAGGCTTGGGGGACGGATTCGGTTTGGTGGTCGATTTAGCGTCAGTGGATTGATTTTTGCCGGCGTTGGAGGAAGATTCCCAGCGGGATTTGCGGTAGGAGTGAGAAGAAGCGGCGATAGCCGCCGCGGAGGAGGAGGAGGAGGAGGATTTTGGGGGGTTTGGACCTGCCATCCTCCTCACTGTTCGGAAAATTCAATCAGAATCGTTTCTTCTTGCTTAGTGGAAACGGCGAAAGGAGGAAGAGAAAGCTTCGTATAAATAAAATGGGGTAAATTTCTTTCTTATCCTTAATGTTTCTGATATGGGATAATTTCGTCCCTAATATTCATTTCATTCTACCAATAGTCCTGAAGAACCTTAGCATGAATTACCCAAATCATCCATAGCACATCTAGACAATGCCTCCTCTGTCCATCATCTACAATCATCCCAAGATAATATCTTCCACACATTCACCTCCTCAGCCTCAAGCCGTCTGTAGCATGGAATTTGCTTCTATTTACATCATCTGAATGGCTCATGTTCTTGCAGCGAAGATATGTCCTCCTTCCATCTCCAAACTACTACCTGGTAACAAAAGTAAGAAACAAATTTACATCTCTTTTGTTTTTTTTTTTTTTTTTTTTTTGGGGGGGGCGCGGCGGGTTGGGGTGAGTCAATGTAAGGGGCTGAAAGTTCTATTTGCCTCAATGTAACAGGTAGATGGAAATTTGGGTGTCATGCAGTGCTACCATCTCAAGAAGGTTCCTCGAGTCATCGTCGAGTTATGCTGTGTAAAAGTTTGGTGGTTGCTGTTCTGAGCTTGGACTGCAGGTTAACTCCATTGCCGGTGCTGGCTGAATATAAATCAAATGAGGAGAAGGAAGAGGATGAGGGGGTTGTAGGGGCCATTAAATCGTTGTTTGATCCTAATGAGAAAACAAGGTCTGGAAAAGTGTTGCCAAAGGCTTACTTGAGGTCAGCTAGAGAAGTTGTGAAAACTCTGCGGGAATCGTTGAAGGAAGATCCTAAGGACATTGCCAAGTTTAGGAGAACAGCAGATGCTGCAAAGGAATCGATTCGGGAGTATTTGAGTAATTGGAAGGGGCAAGAAATGGTAGCCAGTGAGGTATGTATGCATTAATGGGTATGGATTTCATTCTGTTTTTTAATGAATGGTTGATTTTATGATATTATGCACTGCAGGAATCATATGTTGTGTTGGAGAAAGCAATCAGATCCTTGGCCAGTTTCTATTCGAAAGCAGGGCCCTCTGCTCCACTTCCAGACGAGGTGAAGTCTGAAATATTGAACGATTTAAACACAGCTGAAGAATTTTTGTAAAGTCATTATAACCTTGCCAAGGCAGAGTTGTGAGCATGCTATCATTTAATAGCAATGCTGAAAATCTTGAATTGAGGTCAAAGGATGATATTACATTAGTTAATTGCTTTTACATGATCTTTCAGTTTAGTAGGTAAACAGCAAAGCTGTCA